AAAAAAAAAAAAAAAAAAAAACTTACTATTCTTTATCCAGTTCAGTATAGAAGTAACTGACACCCACTGCTTCTCTAGGTCTTCATTTCTTTACGAGGGCTCGGCTCCATGCCAGGTAAAACTTGTATTAAAGGAGTTTGCACACACAGGCGGATGACCATGTGAGGACACCAGGAGGAGACACCACCTACCTGCCAGGAGAGAGGCCTTAGGAGAAACCAACCCTGCCAACACCTTGATCTCAGACTTCCAGCCTCCAGAACGGTGTGTGTCCCATTTCAGAGAGACAGAATTCAGCCTGAAGTTCCTCTGTCCTTCATCCCTGAGTCGCTCCAGGAACAGAGAAACCTGGGAAATGGAGACTAATACAAAGAGAAAGGAAAATAGATGCTGGACAGCAAAATTGACAAATCTCCAAAGCCATCTGTTTGTAAAATGTTTCTGGCGATGGCTAGGGAATCCCAAAACCATAAAGCAAGAGCACAGTCAGCGGCTGAGCTGGTCTGCTCTCACATCTTCCCTCCTGCCTGAAGGCAGATCACTTACAGTGAAGTTCATACCATTTTAATGATAGGCACTACATGGAAATTGGGACATTTAAAACTCTGTATGGTTTCACAACCATTAAAATTTTTAAAAACTAAAAAAAAATATTGCACACCTATAATCCCAGCACTTTGGGAGGCCGAGGCGGGAGGATCACTTGAGGCCAGGAGTCCAAGACCAGCCTGGGTAACCGCGAGACCTCCATCTCTACAAAAAGTTGAAAAATTAGCCAGGTGTGGTGGTGCTCACCTGTAGTCCCAGCTAGTCAGGAGGCCGAGGTGGGAGGATTACTGACACTTGCTAGTTGTAGAGCCCAGGGCATGGTTCCCTCTCTGAGCCTCAGTTTGTTCACCTATAAAATGGGGTGATGATACTACTGTATAATGTATAAGAATACATTCCCCAAAGGGAGAGCAACAAATGATAAGATGCCCCTTAAGTGCTGAGCCCAATGTCTGGCACGTGGTAAATCCTCAATCAGGACATGTTGGCTGTTATTAACACGAGAGAGATGTGCTCATTAACATCACACAATATTCACCAGTTTCCCAACAAGGAGGGTCAGAGGCAATATAAATAAATACCAGAGCTTTATGTGTGCAATACCTCACCCAACAAGTATGGGGCATATTGAGCAAGTGACTTATCTGTAAGATTGACCAGACCCAGCGGGGAGAGGTTTGGTTTTGAAGAAACCAGACTGACTTCTGCCTCTCCTCACCCTATGCTTCCAGAAGGGCCCACATATCGCCTCTCTTGCCTTTTCTTTCTCCTGTGGCTGTGCCGGGAAAAAGCGAAACAAAACAAAAAACACACTGGGAGGTGGAGGAGAGCCGTGCCAAGGCCTCTCTGTTTTTACTTTTCACACAGCTCTCAAAAGACAGGCCCTGGGGCTTGCTGAGAAACCGCTCCGTGATGCCACCCCTAACTAGCAAGCCTGTCCTTAACCCTCACACCAAAGGGGTGGACAGGTGGGCTGCGATGCCAGGATCCAACTAGTGTGTGACTCCAGCTTCCAGGCTTTTCTGCATAGCACAGCTGTGGGCCCCATTCTCATTCTTGTGACATAGGGGAAAACATTAACTTTATTATTTGCAGTCTCTCCATTCTCTGCCTTCTGAGGATGGGTCCTCCAGGACAATCTGTTGCTTTGCAGACTCTCCGAGGAAGAATAACTAAGCAGGTGGGAGGAAAAGGCCCAGGCTAATTTGCTGTGTGGGCCTGCAAGACCCCGCGGGGATTCTGAGCAGGTCGGGTGGGGAACAAGGAGACCAGGGCAGAAGGAAAGGGGGAGGGGGCGAGGAGAGAAGCGGGCAGCAAACTGCATCTAAGGGGAGGCTGTTTGTGATGCTTCTTTAGACACAAGAAACAGAATGCACAGATTTCACAGCATGAGGTTTCTGTTGCTTAACAGCAACTCTCAAAATAAGCACATCTCAGGGGAAACTACCATCAGCCAACTGAATACAGGGTTTTCACACGTGTCCAGGCCACTGTGGTAAGGCTTTGTCAACATGCCAATTTTTAGTTTGCTCTGATGAGAAAAATCAGGTTTTTATGAAAGAAAAGGAAGGTGAAATATAACTTCCTTCTGAATCCCCTACCTCTGAAACCCCTCAAGTACAACGGAAGAGGAAAGAGGACAAATAAATCCCCACTGAAATGCCCTGAAGAGCTTCCTCTGCATAAATGTGCAGCAAAACCATCTCTTCCTGCCCTTAAAATGACATTCCAGAACCTTTAACCTGGGAACCGTCCCAGGGTCTTCCAATCCAATGCCTGTTAAATGGCCACTCTGGGAAACTGGTAACTGCAGAGGGCATTTGTCTTGATCTGTCCAGCGGTCTTTCATTTGGTGACTCTGTGGTTCTGGTGGAGCTGCCAATCACAGTACGTCACCCTGGTTAGATACCTGGGACCTCAGTCTGGCTGGTTATGGTGCCCCACCCCCCAGGTTAGTGTTGACCCGGGGAGGTGCAAGCCAAACCAATCAGAAGGTTTCTCTGGGAGAGAGATATGCACACATTTTTAATAGGCAGGTCAAAAACAAAGCCTCTTTCCTCTGAGGACATTAAAGTGGGATGACATAAGCCTGGAACTCTTTGTGCCTATCCTTCCTGGGGTACGAAGGAAACCCATCTACAACAGCAGATAATTAGGTCACTGCATATTGGAATGAAAGCTCTGTTGACATTTGAGTTTCTACAGTGCCTGATGGCAGTTTCGCCCCTAGACGTCCAGTTATAAGCATCTTTTTCCCAGTTATGATTCCTTTTCTTCCCTCTTTTTTGATTAAGCTAATTAGAGTTGGACTTATCTTTTGCAAACTGATATACATGATAATCAAAGACAAGAATGTCAAATGCCCAAAGGCAAGCCAGTCTGCCTGACGTCTCGTCCAAACCAGACCACAGTCCTCACCCTGGTCTCTCCTTCTCCCCAGAGTATGCCGATGAGGGCGTCAGCACTGATGGTAGCACCAAGTACTGCATCTTTGTTTTCACCGTACTCTTCACATACCAACCTCAGAGTTAGCCCCTTCCCTGATAAACTGGGATGAGCTTAAGTGCAGCACCTAGCCTAGCACCTGACACAAGATCATGACCAGGGATGGATGGATAAAGACTGCTGATCCCACCAGTGTGTTCCCAATTATGGAACAAATTGTTTCACTGTAAGGCTAAGTTTATGTCTAGCTATTACTCAATATTTGAGAAGTACAATGCAACCTCCCCACTGCCTCCAAGGTCACCAGTGAAAGGGAAAGCTTTCAGTAGAGGTTTATCTTCCCTGCCCCCACCCCCAAAGAGGAACCATTTAACCAGCTGGCTCCAGATGGGGCAACCAAATGAAAGTGTCACAAATAAAGAGGTCTTCACAAGTCCATGTTACTATAACTAAAATTTGGGTTCACTTTTAAGCAACTCCAACAGCAGAGCCTTCTCAGGTACTATGATGTACTATGATAGAAAGTTACCAGTTCACTACTGCTTTGTAGGACAGAGAAAATTGACTAACTGGAACCACATTGCCACATTTTACCCCGGGTTATCTTAGAGGTCCTATTCACTTTGCCAAGCCCAAATCTATTTCACAGATCTCCTATATTAAAAGAATAGAGAAAGAAAAACACAGATAACGTGGTGTTGTGATCTTTATTCCATTAAATGAACCTTACAACTAGGAGTGAAACAGAAACATGCTTTTAATATCCTAATAGCATAATCTCATCCCATTGCACTTTTTAAAGACCGTATTAAATTTTAAAGCCATTCAAAGGCAAGGATCTAGCAGAAAGTACTTCTAACAAATCTTTTTAAGAAAAGAAAAACAAAAGAAATCTGAGGAAAATTTGTATATGTACAAGATTAATATTAACTCCTTTTAAGGCTTACGTCCATGACAGCATTTATTCATCTAAATTAGCAAACTTTGGGAATCAATGCAATCTTCCCTTGATCACAAAAATACATTTAAAGTTTTGTTCTGGCACATAAAATTCCTTCCCAAAGAAAATTTCTTCCAAAACCTTTCTGCTCCTAGGTTTAGAAAAGTTCCTGATATTGGATACTCAGGTCACTATCAAAATTATAATCCTGTTCTTCCTTTTTATTCATTATTTTTATTCGTGGTTTAAAGTTTTCTGTATGCTAAAGATTTAGGGGTTCAAGTCATAGTGCTGAATTTGGCTTTTAAAAGAAAAACAGAGTCAGGCACAGTGGCTCATGCATGTAATCCCAGGACCAGGGAAGGTTGAGGTGGGAGAATCACTTAAGGCCAGGAGTTCAAGACCAGCCTGAGCAATGTAGCAAGACATTTGTCTCTACAAAAAAAAAAAATTAATTAGCTGGGTGTGGTGGTGCATGCCTATAGTCACAGCTACTCAGGAAGCTGAGGTGGGAGGATGGGTTGGGCCCAGGAGTTTGAGGTTACAGTGAGCTATGCCACTTCACTCCAGCCTGGGTAACAGAGAAAGACTCTTGTCTCTCTAAAAAAAAAAAAAAAAAAAAAAGACAAACAGCTATCCAAATTGCTTTTTAAAAATCCTAATTACATCTGTTAGGATGTTTGTACATTCATTTTTCAAAGAAGGCACTATAACAATTTAGAAAATAAAATAGCTTTAAGGAGTTTAAATAAATAATCCTCTGGATTAAAGGCATCCTTACTGCTCTGAACACAGTAAACTTCTGCTGATGAACCTCAGGTAAAAGGTATCCACTTGCCTCTAGACCATAGCAAACTATACTCTCTTGTTGGTACTTCTCATCTCATGGAGCAGTCTAACCACCTAAGATACTGTTTATGAAGTGATGATTTCTGGGCCATAGCCCAGATCAACTGAGGCAATCACTGGGTATAAAGCTGGGAATCTGAATTTCTTTAAAGAAGCCTCCTCGGTAATGAATCTGAATTTTTTTAAACAGGCCTCCTAGGTCAGTCTTATGCACTCCAGGTAGATGAGAGCCACCACTCAAAACATAGCTACAGTATGACTTATCATAAAAAAAAGGAAAACTCTTCAACTGCAAATGGTCTTTTCATCAGGGTTCTTAATGTCATTTTAGAAATTAATCACACATAGTTTGTACTTTCATAACTGAAGTTTGTCTTCATGATGTCCATATACCTTGACTAAAACTTTGTTAGATCCAAACGTTAGCCATAGCTCTATAAAGACTTCCACATAAGTTACATTGTTTAAAAAAAAACAAAAAACCTAGGAAAAGATAAAACTATTTGTTTTACTATTATTGCCTACTTAATTTTGCTATAACTCATACATACATACTCATCCAAACTCACCCCATCCAAGGCACCATTTTTATAAGCTAAGTAGAACACATGATCTAAAGAAACAAGGTGGTATTTCTATTTGTGTAGGTTTGCCCACAGCATTTTACTTCATGTTAGAGAAAAGAGTAAATAAAGCAGAAATAATATTCACAGGCAATTTTACCAAGTATAAAGTAGGTGTTAAAACATAAACTTCCATGGAACAGATTTCTTAATATACTGAAAGAATAAGGTATGACTCTAAAGATGTTTTTATCACCATACATGACAGTTTGTCCTCATTTTATCTACAAACTAATCATACAGAAAGATTTCTCAGTGAAAGAATTAAAACTTTGATTCTATTATTTTTACTAAAAGAAGCTAAATGGAAGTTATTTAAATGTATTAATAGCAACATCTGACTTCTGAAATGAATTATTTCGAAAACCTCTTTTTATACATTAATGGAAATGTGCTCCATATATTGTTAGGAATGTGTAAATTAAAAATGCCAGGAGCAGCAGAGTAATAGACACTGTACAACACCTACAACCCGAGCTCCTGACCTACAAATCAAAAGCTGAGAGACGATAACAGGTAAGTCATTCTTTTCAACCTGGTTATAAATCTCCCCAGGACTATTTATAGCCAGCAAGGAGAATGCATCTTTTATTGAAAAAGCTGATATAAAATCATCAACCTACAGTTTAAAAAAGAGATCAAAGAAAACTCACAAGAACCCTCACCGAGAAAACTTTATAAACATTTTCCGGAGGCAGAACAAGTTAACTAATAAAGACCAAAACAGGGACTTCCTCTGGGTAATTAAACCAAGGTTATTCCCTTATAAGACTAAAACAGAAATGGTGAATTTAAATAGTAACTAACCTAAGATTTCATTAAATCATGCATTATCACTTTTTTTAGAAAAAGACCTAATACTTTAGTATTAGAATGAGTTTTAAACACATTATCCCTTCTACCATTAAAAGTTGGACCACTTTTGACAATTACTCTGAAAATTTACTTATAGAATATATTAAAAACTAAGTATCTCAAAATCTATAGGACCTGCTACTTAAAGTTTGAACCTTCAGAGAAAGATGAGAGACTACCTGAAAACGCACCAAAATTTCAGAAGCTTTCAAGTTAACAGTCAAAGCTTGGCATCACTGATAAGTACAAGTAAACAGTTTTTAGAACAAGCTGGAATTTTTCTACAATGTAACAGCAAGTGAGTAGAATAGCAAGAACTTCAAGGCAAGATGGTATATAAATATGAAAAATATATAAAATGCTCGGAATTAATTTAGGACTTATAAAAATACTTGAGCGGTAAAGCATTAGTCAAAAAAATTCTTTGATAAAGAAATTACATGCTAGAAGAGACTTTCTTTTTTCTACCTTCCATTCATACTTCATGTATATAAAATTTGTATTTTGCCTAAGCCCTCCTACCTCCCTCCCACAACAAAAATTAAATTATCTCAAAAATTAAGGCTCACACACCTGAATGTTTATATAAATACTTGCAGGCAAGTTTTAAGATGTTTTAAAATCCACAACAATTCACCATTATAAATCAAAGGAAACAGCGACTAACAGATAAAACTTTTTATCATCTAATCAAGGTAAATAAAAAAAGAATTCTTAGATACATCTAGATATTGTTTGTATTTGAATAGGACTTTGGTTCTTACTATGCCAAAGCTATTTTAAAGCTACCAGACTAGTCAAAAGTAAAGTTAAACAAAAGAAGATTCACTAAATAAAACTGATAATTTTAGTTTCATTATTAGAACATTGGACAGTGCGTAGGAGTATGCAAATTAACATTTTGGATAAAGACCTTAAATCAGGCTATTTAATTATTATTGCTAAGCCACATGAAATAAGACATTAATTAAAGGTAGTAATATTTGGTAATATCTTTCCTCTAATTCTTAATAAAGTTCTGTTCTTATGTAGAACTCTCAAAAACAAAACCTCTCAAATGACAACCGTGTGTAGGAGTTGTGTATAACATACATACACATATAAATCTATAGTGAACCTGACCAAGGCACAAGGTCAAGAGTCTTATTAGAGGTCACATGATTAATTTAAACTCAGCTTTTTTTCTTGCAGTATCTAGCTCAGTCCTTTTATTATTCGAGGAATACATGCCTCTTTTTCTAGAAAGAAGCTGTGAGAAAAAAATAGAGCATGTTACAACAAAACTGTCAGCCTGTTGGGTAAAAAACCTTACATTTCAGAATATGGTATATTTAAATACAATATGATTTTCCCACACTATGCGGCAAACAGGATTCTATCACATTATAAATAAGATTTATAAAGTGTGATGGCATCATTTTCAGTTACTCTTTAGTTCTTAAGTTTTTCTAAGTTTTGTAAACTTTTAAAAGAAGGAATCCTTCTCAAAACTGTAAAGAACTGAGAAGTTTCACCCCAAAATGGCATCTTTTACCAAGTTGTCCTCCATCCCCTCCCCACTGTCTGCAAAACCATGGATTCGATCTTAAAAGGCACTAAGTGGCACAGAGAACTTAAAAGCTACATTTCCATTTTTTTCCTTTAGCTTTCTCCCCCATAAAGTGCACAAAGCAGAGAGTAGTAAGAAAATAAACAGAGGCTTGGATTTATAACAGCAAGGAAAAGAAGTGCTTCCGACAGAAACGGAAGCGTGTTTAAGAATGTGAAACCACAGGAGAGGTCACTTCGTTTATTACAGTGCCACGTTTCGGCTCTTCCTGGAATCTGCCATTCCTCCGGACATGGACCTGTGGCCGTGGCGAAAACCCAGAAATCGGTAGGGGCTGGTCGAGTTCTTGTCGGATCCTGATATTAACATCTATTGAGCTTTTTTATCCACAGGTTGTCTCTCAGCAACTGAATCCCTCACAGCAGCCTGAGTGGAATTGCCAATATGAGAAGAAGCCTGCAAAAGTCCATTTATTCAACATGTTAAGTTAATAAAATACAACACAACAATAAGAGAGTAAGTCCTTGGAGATAACCTTTCAAAGAAATGTCTCCATTATCAGTATGTCACAGAGTAGGGGAATAAAATGCCAGGGTGAGGGGAGGCTGTGGCAGCAGCTAAGCCCCAAGACAGCCAGGGGAGCATCTGCTCTGTAGCTGGGGTGGATGGGAATCTCCCCTGGCTTCACAAGCTGCTTGACCTAATCGATCTGTTTGTATTACTCAGAAAAAGAAATAAGTCATCTCTAAGATCTATAAAACTGGAGATCATGTCAATGCCAAAAAGCCACTGGCTTATTGGAAGATTTTAAATGAAAGAGATGCCATCCATTTTCTAACCCAATAGGACTCAAAACAGAACATTGTATTAAGTTCATATTTTTTGCAAAGCTCTTAATTTTCAGTGAAGCAAATTAATCCAAGGGGCTGGGGAGAGGAAGAATCACACAGAAATTCTATCTGAAAAGCATATAACTAGAAGTTGCCCATGAAAAACAAAATGTGTCTAAATTGGAACTTTTTTTGCATTAAAGGGCTGTTTTTAGGCATAGAAACAAAATATTAATACTAAGAATAAATATTAATACCCTAAAAGAGGATAGTAAATCATAAACCCTATCACAATAAAAAATGGCCAAGGAAAGTTTCTCATGTGTTCTTTCACTATGAAATTCTTCTAAACTGAGATATTTTCCAACAGAAGCACAAATATCTGCCCATTATCAAATCTCAGCCTCCTCAATGACACTACTTACCTGCTCCAGTACATATGCTGCACCAGAATCAATAGCACCACCCAGCTCACGATACTGACCAGAATATCTGATGTATCCCCAGGTGAGGAGCGCTATTAACAGCAGTCCAACCATACAGTTGAACAGCTGAGCCACAACCTCCAGACCAACAAAGCCAGTGAGGCCTGAGGCTATATACAAAGCCACAATGCCCGTGAACAGCACAGCAGGGGTTCGGAAGGTGCTGAAGACGTTCTTGCTACCATTGTGCTTGCAGAAGTTCTCATACAGTTCCTTGATTTCCTCCTCCAGCTCCTGCTGGTAACGAAAACTGAAATCTTTCCCACCCATCTTCTTAGTCTTCTTAAAATGGTCCAGAGCAAGTTGTTTGAATTCACAGTGCTTCTCCTCTAGAATGTCTGGAGACAAATAAGGTTTCTCTCCCCCACAAACCTAAAAAGAACAAAGACACAGTATGTTGAAGATCCCTTCAAAAGCAAGTGCCAAATAAATAAAACAAATGCAAAGACAACAAAAAGGTTAGAATGTTTTAAGATATTAGAACTTTTTTTTTTTTGAGACAGAGTCTTGCTCTACAGTAACAGTGAGACCCTATCTCTACAAAAAATAAAAAACTTAGCCAGGCGTGGTGGTGTGTGCCTGTGGTCCTGCCTACTCAGGAGCCTGAGACGGGAGGATCACTTGAATTCAGCAGTTTGCGGTTACAGTGAGCTATGACTGCTCCACTGCACTCCAGCCTGGGCAAGAGAGCGAGGCCCTCTTGAAAAAAAAAAAGAAAAGAAAAGAAACAAGAAAGCTTTTGTTAGAAATGGTAGTAATTAGAAGGCCCTAGTCAGGCGTGCTGGCTCACACCTGTACTCCCAGCACTTTGAGAGGACAAGGCAGGAGGATCGCTTGAGGCCGGGAGTTTGAGACCAGCCTGGGCAACAGAGTGAGACTCTGTCTTTTAAAAAAGAAAGAAAGAAAGAAATGGTAATAATTAGAAGGCCCCAATTATCAGGACAACCTGAATACAGCTTTGTTGCCTCATCATCTTAAGATACATTAAGTAAGATCAAGTTTGGGCTTTTGAAAACAGCAACAATGCCCAGGTTATAGGTATTTCAGAATAAAGCGTATGCCCCACATACCTCCTCCATGTTGTTATAATAAATGTCCTTGGCAGAAGCTGCAGCTGCTAAATTGTTGGCTTCAGCAGTGGCCTTTTAAGAAAGGAAAGTGTGAGCTATAAATCCTTCCTCTTTTTAACATTCTTTCCACGAATAACCAAATAAAAATCTTCTCTCACCCTATTCCCCATTCTTCCTTTTTTATTAACCTTCTGCTATTTTTTAGGTTTTCAAACAGTTCAACTGATGAAATAAAATACACCTTTTCTGCCAAATTTTCTACCAAAAAATCTGTTTTATACTTAAGAATTTTTACATAAATTAAACCTCAAAAAATCAAGGAAAATTTCATTTCCTTTGCTTCAATTTTAAATGTAATAAATAGATGAGTCAAAAAAGGAAACAAATCTTTACAATGTCAATTACAGGTTCTAGCTCCCTTTGTGAAAATGTTTTGCTGCTAAAGAAATCAACATTTGGCAACAAATGTCCTTGTTCAGCATATGAAAAGTCAGAAATGATAGTTTTAACCAAATCACAATTTCTAGTTGAAAATAAAAAACCCAATTGTTCAACAGTAAATAGACAGTTCAGGATACTAAAGTAAACGACAGGTGACAGGAAATTACTTATCTAACATATAGTGGGTATGTTTTACGTGGGTATAACAAAACAGTGTTTTTCAAAGTGTGTTTGGTGGGACGATCAGGCCCAGTAAGGAGAGACCGTTCTGTTTTAACTGTACCACCACGAATACAAACAAGAAAACCAGAAGGCAGCCACACTGCTGCAAAACATGCCAAAAATGACCAGACCTCCAAAATGAAAAAGGAAAGCAATCGCGTTTTCTTCTTAAAGGACTCTCTCTCCCTACCGTATAGGGGTCAACTCAAGTGGCTGAAGTACTTGCATTCAGGATGTCAAAGAATTGCTTACCTGAAGCATGGACTTGGGGTGAGGCAGATCTTCTCCTTGGTAAATTTTAATATATGCCTTAAAATATAAACATAAAAACTGATTATGAAAAATGTCATTCTGTCATATATACAAGGGCTGTCCGGAAAGTATCCAGCCACTGTTAATATAACAAGAATGGTTACACAGCTGGATACTTTCCGGATAGCCCTCATATTATTCACACTTTAATTTTTAGAAACAATGACCATACAACTGCATTTTCCTAAAGACCTAGATCAACAACCAGGAATTAGCAAAAACACAACACACCTGTGAGTGCATGTTAGCATTCTTAGTTAACTAAAAATCTTCTCAAGCAGCACAAGCCTAGGAAGGCTAGGATACCATCTGACACCCCATGCACACTGGCCTCACCACTACCTGGGCAGAGTGATCATCCGCCTTGAGGTAGTCGTGTCACATCTAGGTGCGGTCTCCTACACACAGCAACTTCCTAACCACCTCCTGTCCACACCATCTTCCTTGAGGAACGATCTTCCTTTAGCCACAGTAATTACTCCTCTAAGAGAGTGCAAAGAACATCCATTTGGTTCTTAGACTGCTACTGCCACCCAGTGGCCCACTCCTGGAAGGACACTGAGGTCTCTGAAAATGCCTCTGCCATCTCTCCCAGGAAACTTTCCCGAGTTTCAAAATATTGACATTTAAGTTGGTTACAACGTAGATCAGTTTTATCAAAAATCAAATATTTTAATAATTAAAACCCATATTTACCTTAAAATACTCCAATAGTCCCCGACAGGTGACTTTTGAGCCATTGATCTCCTTTTCCATTAACTTAGAGGGGTTTAATACGTATGGTATCAAATCCTGTAACTGCTCTTTGAATTCACCAGCAATATCTGTTCACGGGACCATGAAAAAGGAAACAATAAGCCACACAGCCTTATTCAACTAAAGTGAGCATAAAACACAATCACCACAGTCTATCTCACTATTTTAACATTTGCTAGTTGGACGTGGAGGGTGGAGGCTCCAGACCATGTGTTTTGACACTTTCTGGCTATGACCAGGTTGCTGACACATCTCTGCCCTAACTTACCTTCATCTGTGTCCTTCCCCTCTGCAGTATATAAAGTCCTCTCTAGTTCAGAATGGAATGCTGTGCGCACAATATTCTACCCTGGTTTTCATTCTGGAATATTCAGTCTACTCCCTAGCCTTTCAAGAAATTTAACTTTTTAAAGAATCTCATTAACAAGGTCTTCAACAAATCAATTATCAACCCCTCAAGTTGTCTCAGGCCTTTGTCATGCGCTCATGCTACCCATTAAAATCAATTGGAAATCACTATTTGATTTTTGTTAATTTTTTAATGTTAAAAGAAGCAGAAGCACCTGTACCCTGTGATATTTTGTATTATCTCCTCAGAGGCCCTCTGGGCCACTTTAAGACAAAAAGGCCACTAACTCAGGAAAAGTGAGTTTCTCTGCAGCTTCTACAAGGCTCCCACCGAGGGTTCTGGAGAACCATTAAATAGAGCTCTTTCCTCAAAGTAAGAATTAGCTGGTCCAACTATGAAGACAAAGGAGAATTAAAATACAAAGAATTTGATTTTAATTTAACATCTTCCTGGGTTCCCAAGTATCAACTGAAAAGAAAGTGGCTAGAAGCCCATATCAAGGAAAGAACTCTTTAACACTCCATAAAACTAATTATAATATGAAAAATGGAACTGTAAAATTCCAAGGAAAAAAGCGGAACAAATTCTTTATAAACTTATAGTGAAAAAGTATAAAATAGTGTATATAATATGCTGTTCTGTATAAATTCATATTTGCTTGCATATACTAAAGAAACTCGGGAAGCCTACAGAAATGGAAGAAAGACTTTTCACTGAATACCTTTAATCCTTTTTGGGATTTTAAAATGTCAATGTATTTTCTATTTTAAAAAAACCTTTTTTTATGAGTTCAACTTTCATTCCACTGAAAGACTGAGTATTTCAAATTCACACTAGGATACAGAAGGGATCAATCCAGATACTACAGAATGCTATTTCACTGAGTTTTACCGATCCTAGGCTATTCATGTTTCTATAGGAAAGTTATACCAAAATAATAGTTTTTAAATCAGAATACACAACCATCTCATAACAGAGACAATCTCAATCTCTCATGGTGTCAAAGAAGACTGTTCCCTACAAAATCTTCTGTTATTTTCTAACTAGACAATGCAGTAGTTACTGTATTAGGTATCCCTGATACATATAGTAAACAGGAGGAAGAGTTTTCTTTACACTGCTGGCATAGTCATCCTGTGTCTGATGAAAAGACTCTCAAAAAGCAGCTAATCTATGGGCTGCTGCGGTCATGTGTTTCAGATACACACACACACACAAACACACACTCACACTCACACAAAAAGAGTAAAAAGGAAAAAGAAAGAAGAGAAAAAAATAATAATAAAAAGAAAAAATAATAATAAAAAGAAAAAAAAAAGCAGCTAATCTAGCTAATTACTGCAAGAAGCAGTAGCTTCGCATCAATTATGCCAAAACTAAGATCGTGTTCAGCAGGTATTTACCTCTCAATATGTGGTCAATCTTTGAAAATAAAATAAGACCACTAAAACAATTCCTAAAGTATTTGGGGGAACATCTGCAGAAATAGCTTCAAATGTTCTTATTAAGTTTAAATGTAACACAGAACGACATTAAGTTCCTTTTATGAGTTAGCCATAAACATTCTCAGGCCCTGAACATTCTAACGTTGTCTTTTCCAAGTTACATGGAGCAGGACTGCAGAATCTCAGCCAAGTAACTGTACAAATACACTTTAGAAAATACGTGTTTTTGTTTGTTTGCTTAAACTCCGAGAAACACATCCGCTCTACTGGCAAGTCTGCTGCAATAAATTTTGTGTGGTTCTCAAGCTAGCACTTGCCAAATACTCACATGTCACCTGCTATTTGCAATTTAGCAGCCAATTTAATCTTCACTCAAAACCTTTCAATATCTTGGTTATCCCTAAAATTACAAAATATCCATCTCCAAATCTAAAAAGTACATAAACTTTTACAGAGCTGGTTAAGAATTCTTCATGAATAATCCTCATAATATTAATAACTGCAATTCCTTAAATAAACACCAGGCAGACTATT